CGATGACAGATATGAACAAAATTATTTCACATTTCTAGTTTAAATATCAGCAGAACAGATGACAGATAGGAACATAATTATTTCACATTTCTAGTTTAAATACCAGCAGAACAGATGGCCGATAGAAACATGATTATTTCAATTTATTTAAATACCTAGTACACGGTTATTAAGCATCCGAAAAGGAAATCTGGTTTAACGTCGTACTTTTCTGGTCCTACTGGTCTGATGGTAACGGACATACTCCATGCAGTGTTCTTTGAGGAACATTTTGCCCCGGCAGCGGCCCGGTAAGTGAGACAATTACTCACTAGCCAGGAGATCCAGGGTTTCGATTCCATTGTTGACTGAGAAACCTCCCCGGGATTTTCCAGTTTGTATTTACCTTCCCAGTGATGCAGGACGTGGGGGAGGGGGGGCGCTTTATGGGGAATATTTCTCTCATGGCTGACTTCATTAGGCCTGAAGAGTAGGACGTTAAACCCCATTTTATTTGTGAGCGAACACTATATACTCACCATACAATGACGATGCCGAAATAAATGACCAAACAGGACTAGCGAGGGGAGTAATATATGAAGGAAAACATGGCGCGGCGTTTCCTCCAAATTTGTCCACGGGTCTTTAACGTGCACATCCCAAACTTAGGCTGCCTGTCTACAGCTAGCTCCGCATGAGAACAGGCCCTAAGCTAATTAAACGACATTCTAATTCCTACATCGACGATTTTAGTCGAAAACACCGAGTATGCTTTTAGTAATTTTTAGAGGTATTTATTTCTCTTCTATAATTGTCATATTGAATGAAATTAAATAGTTTTATTTAGCCGCTGTGTGTATGAAAGATGTCAAACTAATCAAAGTCGAATCACAAAATATTCCTCTAATTATTCAATATGGCGGCGCCCATGATTGCTATGAAAGATAATTTTACAGAGGCGGTTTTGTTTGCGAAAACAAATTTAGGAGTATCTAACCTTGTTTTGAAAGATAAACAGATTAAAACTCTAAAGGCAGTTTACAATGGCAAATAATGTATTGCAATATTACCCACTAGCACATATTATATATCGCTTTTACCGGAGTGGCAGAAGTTGACATTTTCCCAAAGACATGTGTTTACATAAAACACGTGCTTGATCGGGTTATTTTTACTCTGTTGTGTACACAAAGCTATAGTCCAGTCGATAAGCCCCGCCCCAAAATGATCACGTGAGGGTTTTAAATGGGGGCTAACTAGGGCAGTGATCATTATTCTCGAAGTATGACGTAGATGGATCGCTGCGTGCAGTTTGTAACGTGCATTGTCATTTTATACACTGAATGTCCTCCTTCGCCCTTCCAGAAAACAGTCTAGTCCAGAGTCAAGTGGCATGGCTTAAAGTTAGTTTTGTCATCACTGGAAACGCATGAACCCGACTTGAAGGCAACGTTTGTCCAGAATCCGGAAACGCCTGAACCCGGCTTGAAGTCGGTGTTTTTAAAGCGGTGGAAACATTTGAACACGGCTTGAAGTCAGCGCTTTTCGTCAGTGGAAACACCTGAACACGGCTTAAGTCAGCGTTTATTCTCAGTGGGAACACCTGAACACGGCTTGAAGTCAGTATTTGTTCGCGGTGGAAATACCCGACCCCGGCTTCAAACGTTCTTACACAAACCTTATGTAAATCTCATTAATAATGGTTTAAAAATTACATTTGGTAACAATCTTTACATATGGTGTAGTAAAATATAAGACATGTTATTAAATGCCACCCACCTTGACTTCATATTATAATGTTGATAAAGAGAATTAATTCGATTATATCCAAGATATAAACATTTTATATGGTTAACTAATAATTATAATTGCGGTGCAGTGATGACGGGTTTCAGAGGGAATAGAAACAAATGAAATGAAATGAAATGAAATGAAATGAAATGGGGTTTAACGTTTTACTGTTCTGCTCCTATGCTGGGCTAATGAAGACGGGCATACGCCATACAGTGTGCTATGAAGGAAATTTTGCCCGGGCGGAGGCACTATCGCCTACTCTTATATTGAATTCCAACTGTCAAGGGATCCTTTACTAGCACGCCACGGGGCCTTGGTTTTTCTTACTATCCGCACGACTAGAGAGTTGTCTTTGTCAGGTCCTCCGTCCTGCATCACTGACTAGGGGAAACCACATCGGAAAATCTGGATGAACTTTCTCGGCCAATGCAGGGATCGAACACCCGACCTCCATGCTAGCGAGCAAAAATAAGAATAGAAACAAATAAAATGGGGTTTAACCATTTCTGCACCGGCCGCGCTAATAAAAGACGGGGATAAGCAATTTTGCCTGGACAGTAGCGCTGCGAGCTATTTTTATTTCGAATTCCATCTGCCAATGTGTACACGGGACCTCCATTTGTCGTTCCACCCGAACTACTAGACACTTTTCCTTGCCAGACCCCCAGCTTACACCACTGACAAGGTGAAACCATGCCGGGAAATCCCAAGGAATGTGCTGGACCAACTTCGGGCGGGAACCCGAACTCGAGATCTTCTGGTTACCGAGTCAGCGCCGTAATTACGGAAGCACAGCGGCTTCCTAAAAGAAACAAAGAGAACTATATTAAAGGTACATTATGTAAGATTTAGATAAAGAGCTAGTCTTTCTTGCTATAATAGTTCGAAAATAGATAATGCAAAATGAATATATTGAAAATTTCGTTCAAATTACTCTATTGGGAGCGAAGATATCAGCCTTTGAAGGTTTGACAAGATGTGTTCAATAATTGCAACCACCGTACTGGTTGTTCGAAGCTTTGGCTCACTTCCCCATTTTTGAATTAAATCAAAATATGGCTGAACCGTTCTAATCTATTTAATATCGGAGATATCCGATGTCAGCGAGAGTTGATTATGGCCTGGATAATGTCTAATTAAGAGTTTGTATAACATTTCAGGCCTAAAAAAAGACCTACAATAGACAGATTTAGCTCTTGCATAATGTATGTTTAACCGCTGATAAAAGAGTTAACATTTTATTATATACGGCATGTAAACAATGTTTAATGTTAATGATAAACAAACTCATGTTTACAGACCTATCTGGTTAGTTCTATATATATATACGTTCCATAAACCTGGTTATTGGTTTCTTGCTGTGGGCATCATTTTCATATTACTTTTTATATTATGCACTGTCAAAATAAATTGTTCAAAATAAAATTAACTGATATTCGACCAGTCTTCCAATAACAACAGAATTTAACAGGCGAGAACAAAATATTATACAGCAGAATCCAATCTGATTAAAATACAGATCTATATTTCGTTTCGGTTTTTTTAATACTTTCGATGGCCTCTACTGCATGAAGATCTGACAAGCTGTAGATGGGGATGGGGGTAGGTCAGGGGTCATACGAGCGGCTTTTGATCCTATGACGCCAAGAACTCTCTGCAACAGACCTCCATCAGCCAGAACGTGGGTTATATAACAACTCTTCCAGATCCTAGTGTAGTAAAGACAAGTAAACGAAATTTTTAACTATAAAAAACGAAACGAAAATAGGATTTGTGTTGGAATCAAATTGAGCAGAATGGTACTTCACGTAAACAGACAGGGTGTCTGGAGAATGTTCCTTGGGACTTTACAGTTGCTTTCTTCTTGTCATTGGGCATGTCATGGATGTCAGCAAACACCGAGGTTCCCTGAAAATGTTAGTGTACATGTAAAATAACCCTTGACAGTTGGAATTCGAAGATGAGTAGGCGAAAATGACACTGCCCTGACAAAATTGCCCTCATAGTAAACTGTATGCCCGACGTCATTAACCCGGATGTTGCAGAGAAGTAGTCCATAAAACTCAATTTTATTTCATTCATAATAACAGATACCCATAACATAAATATAAAAAAGAATACATTCTAGTTAAAGAATCACCTCAGTGAATTCCATTGGGTGGTTTAGTGATGAAATCACATGGTCTGTCATTGTGTCAATTGGCGTGGCTTCGATTCTCAGCTTTTCCTAACAAAGACGCTGAGATTGTGTGTGTGGGTGTGTGTGTGTGGGGGGTGTGGGTGCGGGTGTGTGTGTGTGTGTGTGTGTGTGTCTCTCTCTCCCCCCCCCCCTCTCTCTCTCTCTCTCTTTTCCCAACAAAAACGCCGAGATTGCATATCAACAAAACCACCATACTAAACTTACGCTTGACAACATAGCCTACACTAAGCTAGTAGACCGGCATTTTAAGTCTTAAGTCGACGATTTTAGTCGAAAATACAAAGTATATTTTGAGAATGTTGTGAAGTATATATTCTGGTTTCATTTAATAAAATTGAAAAGGTTTACAAAACAGTAAACTAATGACAATTGTTGGGGCAATGGTTTATCATTTAAAAAGTTTAAAACAATTTCCATAAATAAAGGCTATGAAATAAAATGGGGTTTAACGTCCTACTGTTCTGCTCCTAACCAGGGCTAATGAAGACGGGCATACGCCATACAGTGTGCTATGAGGGAAATGTTGCCCAGCCAGTGGTGCTACGACCCACTCTTATATCAAATTCCAACTGCCAAGGGATCTTTTATGTGCACGCCAATGTGTACACGGGAACTCGCTTTTTCGTCCCATCCGAATGACTAGACAGCTGTCCTTGTCAGGCCCTCTGTCCTGCATCACTGACAAGGAGAAACCACGCCGGAAAATCGGGATGAACTTTCTCGGCCAAAGATAGTTCTTTGTGTGTGCAGAATGCAAAAAAAGCAACAACCAAAAAACAACCCCAAAAAACAACACATATCTGGTTTTTTTACGGTGTAGCATTATAGTTAATGTCAGTTCCCATAAACCTAGTTATTATCTCTGTGTATAAAAGAGTAACGCTATAAAACATTAATGTATTATACACCTATATCTATTTATGCAACTACTTTAGAAAATGGGCAAAGAAAAGATAATTGAATCTACAAAACATTCACATACGTCAAATATCAAGCAGCAGTTTGGTTATGTTGCAGATTGACTTTATGTCTATAGCTAAATTGGTTGTAATTTTCTTTTCACCATTATGTGTGCATTTAAGCGAAGACGAGAGAAGATGAAAAGGTTGTGGAGGACGAGAAGGAAGGAGAAATAAGTTAAAGGTATTATTTTTGTCAAAATGTTAGAGAGAACCATTTGCTATCAGACTGATATAGAATTCCATCGTTTGTGATGATTATCTGTAGTTGAAAAGATTTTATGAGTTTAAGTTCGTAGCTGTTCTATATGTAATAGATCAAAGGTAGTCGTCAAGTAGGTAGGTAGGTAAAAAGTCAGTTTAACCTGATGGCATGCCGACTTTTACCTGTCTCGGAGAATGGAATAAACTATCAGTATACTGAACAAACAAGGTGTGTATCTGTTCCTGGGGGATATAATTAATGCCAGACGAATGATTAATGATTGTAAAAGAGTTTTACCTTTCACAAAGTCTTATCTATAAAAAAAGCAGACTCACCTGTTCACTCTCGTAATATTGTCTAGGTGCCAGCAGACATGACAGAGAAATGAAATAGGTTTAACGTTCTACTGTTCTGCTCCGGCTGGGCTAACGAAGGCGGGCGTACGCCATACATTGTGCTTTTTGGGGGGTTGGGCAGAATAACCGCCTCATAGCACACTGTGTGGCATATGCCCGCCTTCGTTAGCCCAGTCGGAGCAGAACATTAGGACGTTAAACCACATCTATTTCATTTATTCTTGCTATAATTTTGATTCGACGGGAAGCAATGGTTGTATTTTGGCTTAGATTTGATTCAGTCAATTTGACTGAAATTTTCAGCAAATTCAATTTACATTATTTAGTTTCTAACTATAATATACTATTCAAAAAAAGTAGGGGATATTTGATTTTGGGGGCATAATACTAAAATATGCAAATGACTACGAAAAAAGTCACTATAGAACCTAACAGAAGAAACATTTCCAGTTACATGTGACGCCCAAACGCACCAATAGCTACCGCATGGAATGCAGGTGATGCTTGGGATCATCATGGGGGTCCAACCCAAGATTTGCACGACTCTGACTTTGAATGTTACAGTCATTGTGGCATTGAATTCCAGGGTGGAAACATCAGTTTAATTGTTTTAGTGTCCAGAAAACAAATTTTGATATGCGTCGGCTTACCCAAAATGAAAGGTTACGTGCCCTTGACATGCTACAGATCGGCACAACACAGGCGGTTGTGGCGCGGACGATGAATGTTTCTCAGTCTGTCATAAGCAGGCTATGGTCCAGATACCGTGATACACAATCTGTACAGGACAGACCACGCTCAGGTCGACCAAGGGCGACAACTCAAGCCCAGGATCGATTTATCCGTACCTTGGCCTTGAGAAATCGTGTCATCACAGCAAATCAGATCAGCGCTCGTCTTCAAACAGACACTGGTGTGAGAGTGAGTGGCCAGACGATTCGGAATCGACTGCATAGGGGTCACCTTCGCGACCGACGTCCTCGCGTGATCCCTTGTTTGAGAGATCATCACATTCAGGCAAGACGTCGTTGGTGTAGGGATCGTCAACACTGGGATAATCGACGCTGGAGCAATGTGATGTTTTCAGACGAGTCAAGGTTCACTGTTGATTTTTTGGACAGACGTAGGAGGGTGTGGCGTCGTCGAAACGAGCGCTTCCAAGACGTTAACGTCATCAGACATGATCGATTTGGGGGTGGTTCTGTTATGGTGTGGGGAGGCATCACTGTTGCTGGAAGAACGGCTTTACATGTTGTTGCAGGGCGTGTTACAGGCCAGTACTACCGGGACAACATCTTGGCAGTCCATGTTGTGCCGTTCGCACGACGTCATGGCCGCCGTTTCATCTTCCAGGATGACAACGCAAGATGTCACAGGGCCAGGATCGTTACAGATTACCTCCAACAACAGAACATCACCACATTACCTTGGCCAGCACTGAGTCCCGACCTCTCCCCCATCGAGCATGTCTGGGACATGCTTGGACAGAGGTTACGTCAACGTCAACAACGTCCTGCCAATGTCCAAGAACTTGCTGCTGCGTTGCAACAGGAATGGGACAATCTGGACCAAAATGACCTTAGACGTCTCATTAGGAGTATGCCACGTCGGATCAATGCTTGTTTGGCAAACAGAGGAGGATTTACCCGTTACTGACTTGGTTGTGATGCTGTGGTAACTTTGCTGTTTGACCCCGGGTATCATTTTACCCTTATAATGGTCAGTCTGTGCCTTACTTAGTCTAACGATCATTTGGAATAAATCGATGAATGTGAACTTCATTTCATTTTGTCATTTGTTTCTTCGTCAGTTTCATTAGGTGACTTTAATAACACTTAAAAATCAAATATCCCCTACTTTTTTTGAATAGTATAGTAAACACTGCCAGCTCTTTATCTTATCTCTTATAACGTATCTTTAAAGAGTTGGAAAAAAACGTCCTAATGGAACGAACAGGGGCCTTATTCACCAAAACTTAAAACGAAAATATAATTATTGTCTAGTCGAGCCATGTTCATCTTTTTTGTCTAATCGAGCCATGCTCCTCTTTTGACTTATACATACGTAGCCGATCTTCAGCATACAGACAGTTTTAGGTTAGAAATTGTTAACGAGTACTCGGTTTATGTAGATGAGGACAGGACCGTAACTAGGGTGGGGGGAGTGGAAAAATTGTCGACCATAAAAACAATTGATAGACATTGTCCATCAATTTACAGCACCCCTGAGAACAAACCCTCCCCTACCCCCGCCCCCCCCCCCCCCCTCGTTGCTCTGAGCTAGTTACTGCCCATGGATGAGAAGTGGTATCGAATGTTATATTAGATATATGTAGATCGTGGAGAATGTTAGTGAAGATAAAGAGAATGTTTGATGGTGTAGATATATATCAGGTAGTAATACTAGCCGCCTCTCATCCGAGACTTTCAATCAACTCTTATCTGATATATACAATCTTTACACGTGTAAAACATATACTTGACATACTTATCATACCTATATACATCTAACTAATACTTACCTTTATAGGCTACACGTGCTAACAAACATTTATTGACCTCTTTAAATTCATTTGATAATCTGGGACAATACACGATTCATTTAATATAGCTGTAAGCCACAATCAAAGGAGCCGAGGTGGCTCGGTGATAAACGTGCTAGCTCACTAACCACAGAAGGTTACGGGATCGCTCCTGGAGTCCCAGCTTATCAGTGATGCAGGACGGAGAGCTTAGTCGTTCAGATGGGACGAAAAACCGACGGTTGGAATTCTGTTGCTGTCCAGGCAGAGTATCCCTGATAACAAACAATATGGTGTATGCCCGTTTCATTACCCCTGTAGGTGCATTAAAACCCATTTCATTCATTCATTCATAATCACAGGCGGGGTGGTGGGCTTTGTAAGATCGCATGACTAAACCCGTGGGCCTCTTGGGTTTGTATGGGTACTATAGTTTCTCCCACTTCCGTAGTTCTTGGTATATAAACCAATTATTGGAATAAACAAATACACATGGCCTAGTTAGTGCTCAGTTGACACTCATGCATATTCCATATGATAATGAAGCGTATACTGAATGATAATTAAGCGTATTCTGAATGATAATTAAGCGTATTCTGAATGATAATTAAGCGTATTCCAAATGATAATGAAGCGTTTTCTGAATGATAATTAAGCGTATACCAAATGATAATGAAGCGTTTTCTGAATGATAATTAAGCGTATTCCAAATGATAATGAAGCGTATTCTGAATGATAATTAAGCGTATATTCTGAATGATAATTAAGCGTATTCTGAATGATAATTAGGCGTATTCTGAATGATAATCAAGCATATTCTAATAATCAAGCATATTCCAATAATCAAGCATATTTTGTATGATAATCAAGCATATCACGAATGATAATCAAGCATATCACGAATGATAATCAAGCATATCACGAATGATAATCAAGCATATTCTGAAAGATAATCAAATTTAAATATAATCAAATTTAACATCCATACTTTGGTTTCATAGATCATTTATTTTAATTAAACATACATCATGCAAGAGTTAACTCTGCCTATTGCAGATCATTCTTTAGGCCTGAAATGTTACCTAAATTATTAACTGATTCAGATGTCAACTCAAGCCTGCGATAGTTATAGGATTAGGATCAGACTTGCTCCTCAACTTTCATTTATGGTTTAATCATAAACTGGATAATCGAGACTATGTATCCATTTGACTCAAATTTCCGCAAATTCCCTTTACATTATCTAGTTTTTAACTATTATAGTGAGAACTGTCAGCTCTTTATCTAATCTCCCATAATGTATCTTTAATGACACAAATAGTTCATCCTGGCAAAGGTGGTACCGTTTGTGGTGTGGTGTCACTAGAGATGTTACTCATCTCGAGATATTGATACGCCATGGAAGTAAGTGTCCTGTGAATATGTGGGTATGAATGAATCAACTGATATAGACAACACGTCTATTTATAAAATTCCACCGACCAGAGGAAAACAACTCAAGAGTTTCGTTTAGTCAGCTATTAATGTTCTGCAACATCATTAAGTGAAGTGATTCATTTACAAGAATTTATTTCAAAAATAGTGTAAAAAAAAACTTAAAGATGTATTAGCATCTTCTCAAAGAAAATATCTCACCAAGACCGATAGAAGATAACAATTCGCCATGTTGTATGAGGGGAATGTCGTCCCATCCCACACTAAACTTAGGCTGTCTGTCTACAGTTAGCTCCGCTTCAGAACAGACACTAAGCTAGTTGACCGACATCTTAAGTCCCACATTGACGATTTTAGTCGGAAACACTAAGTATACTTCTAGAATTCTGTTAAGTATTTATATTCTGCTTCCATTTAATAAAATTGAACAAGTTTATTTAGTCTTTGGGCGTATGACAGATGTGAAACCGTATACTAATTTTTGGAAATGGCGGCCATTTGAGGCAGAGATTTATTCTCGAAGTATGGAGTAGTCTGTGTGCAAAATGGCCACATTCGAACGACAAGACGCTTCCCATGCCAAGCCCGCTGCCCTGTACCACCGACAATACGCTGGACAATCCCGGGTAAATGCCTCGGCCAACATCGGGATCGAACCCGGGACCTCC